CTAACTACGTACCGTTCAGAGGCGGATCGTACCTAGACTTACCCTCCTACTACAAGAAGAAACAAGCCATGGTCAACATAAAAAACAGAGGGGACGATTGCATGAGGTTAGCGATCAGGTCAGCCTTGTTTCCAGCCGATGTTAATTCGAACAGGCCTTCTAGCTATCCCCAAGACGACGGGCTGAACTGGGCTGGTATAGACGAACCCACCCCCATATCCCAGGTCACCAAAATCGAGAAACAGAATGATATAGCCGTCAACGTCTTTGTTCACGAAGGCAACAAAACGATCGTGCACAGGATAGGCCCAATGGAGGGTCGCCGCGTGATCAATATATTCATGATCAAGCGAGGTGACAAGTACCACTACGGTAGGATAAAACACTTCAGCAGGCTGTTGTACGACCAATCGGCACACAGAGAAAAGAGTCACTTCTGCGAACGGTGCCTGCACGTCTTCACCCGACCCGACCTGCTGGAATCACACCGGGAGGATTGCCTAGGTGTGGGGCAGATGGCCATATGAATCGACATGCCCAAGGAAGGTGACAATATCCTAAAATTCGACAACCACAAGAACCAGATGTCCGTACCTTACATCATCTACGCCGACTTCGAAGCCCTCGTCAAACCCGTTGACATCGGCCCGACCCCCAACACGCACAAAACGCAGGAGCACGAGGCCTGTGGGTTCGGATACATGGTCGTCCGATGTGATGGGGAAACGAACGTTCCTGTGGTGTACAGGGGTCCCTACGCGGCTGAAAAGTTTCTAAAGTGCTTGCAGCACAACGAGAAAACCATCAGGAAGAGGTTGTACACCGTCGTTCCCATGCGTATGACCCAAGCCAACCGGCGAGCTCACGGCTGCTGCACTCACTGCCACGTGTGCAACGGCCCGCTGAACGGCGATTCGGTGAGAGATCACTGCCATGTCACTTGTGACTACAGAGGCGCCGCTCACAGCGCGTGCAACCTCAAGCTCAGAATCAACCCCAAAACAATCAACATCCCCGTGGTCTTCCACAACTTGAGAGGGTACAACACTCACTTGATCATGCAGGCCATCGCGAGGGTCGACGGCAGCCTGACATGCATCCCCAACAACATGGAGAGATACATCTCCTTCTCCCTGAACAACCTGAGGTTCATCGATTCAGTTCAGTTCCTGCTGTCGTCTCTTGAAAGTTTGGTCAAGGCCAACGATACCTTCCCCATCACTGATCGATACACCGACGCCGAGACTCGGCCCCTGCTGATGAGGAAGGGTGTTTACCCCTACGAGTACATGGATGGCTGGGCCAAGTTCGCCGAGACCCGACTACCCCCCATCGACCGGGTTTACAGTAACCTGACCGACTCGACAATCACCCCAGATGATTACTCGCACGCGATTAACGTATGGAATAAACTGGACTGCAAGAATCTGGGCAATTACCACGACCTGTACTTGAGAACGAACGTGCTCCTGCTGGCTGACGTGTTCGAGACGTTTAGGAGGACGTGTTTCAAGCAGTATCAACTCGACCCCGCATGGTACTACACCAGCCCCGGTCTCTCTTGGGATGCCTTGCTGAAGAAAACCGGAGTTAAGCTGGAATTGCTCACCGATCACGACATGCACCTGTTCATCGAGAAAGGATTGCGAGGTGGGATCTCCATGGCTGCCAAATGCTACGTGAAAGCCAACAATGAGTATGTGAAGGGCTACGACTCTAGCGAGCCCACCACCCACATCCTCTACCTTGACGCCAACAACCTGTACAGCTGGGCCATGAGCCAGTATCTACCCACCGGGGGATTCGAGTGGGTGCCTGAGGTAGATGTCATGAGCATACTGCCGGATTCGGAGAAGGGTTACATACTCGAAGTGGACTTGGAGTATCCAACAGCATTACACAAGTCACACAACAGCTACCCCCTGGCTCCAGAACGTTTGACAGTAGACCCGGACTGGATGTCTTACTACCAACGGAACCTGCTGGGTGGACGGGTGGCCAATGTTGAAATACTCGTACCCAACTTGATGACGAAAACCAAGTACATCGTTCACTACCGCAACCTGCAGCTGTACCTGTCGCTGGGTATGAGGCTGACTAAAATTCATAGGGTGCTCAAGTTCAACCAAAGCCCCTGGATGGAGCCCTACATCAGAATGAACACAGACCTGCGAAAGCTGGCCACCAGTGACTTCGAGAAGAACCTCTGCAAGCTCATGAACCACTCAGTGTTCGGTAAGACGATGGAGAATTACGAAAACGCGTGACTGTGAAGCTGGTTCGGTCGAAAGAGGAAGACAAGCTCAGGAAACTGATAGCCAGCCCGACATTCAACCGGAGCAAGATATTCACATGAGGAAAAGCCACATCAAATTCAACCGGGCCCGTCTACGTGGGGATGAGCATCCTCGAGCTCTCCAAGCACCTGATGTACGACTTTTACTACAACGAGCTCAAGAAGCAGTACGGCGACAGGTGCGAAGTGCTGGACACGGACAAGCACTGGATAGCCATCGACGGGATCAACACGTACGCGTACTGGCATGAGAAAATTGAACCAAGAACATAGGTGTATATATACGATGTCACGAAACCAAAGAATGTTTGAGGCTATTTACTACAGCCCGCTAGGGTACTTGAAAGGAGCTAGCGTCATACACAAGCTTGCCAAAATGGCGCGACTACCCCCAGACGAGACCAAAGCGTGGCTTGAAAAACAAGCCCTGTGGCAGATCTATTTACCGGCACCACACTACGTGCCTCGAAGAAAGTTCGGCATTGCCGTACCCAATAGCGTCCACCAGGTCGACCTCCTGTCTTACCCCACGACAGGAGGTACAAGTATGCCCTAACCGTCCTTGACGTGGCCAGCCACTACAAGGAAGCGGAGCCCTTAACCACGAAAGATGCAGCCCAAGTAGCCCGCGGATTCGAGCGCATATACAAACGCAGTCCGCTGACATGGCCCACAGAGCTGCAAGTCGACCCCGGGCGGGATTTCATCGGTGCCGTGTCACAACTGCTAGCCCAGCACGACGTCCAAGTCAGGCGTGGCGCTGCCAGGGCTCATCGCAGCCAAGCCATAGTCGAGAGATTCAATAGGACTTTGGCCGAGAGCTTATTCGGACACCAGTATGCGAGAGAGATAGTCAACCCAGAAAAACGATCGACGGAATGGGTAGCGCAGCTACCTCAGGTGGTGTGGGCTATCAACCACGTAACCAACCGTCTCACCGGCAAGAAACCGGCCGACGCTATCAAACTGAAATCAGTGATAGCCGAACCGGCTGCACCATCGTGTGGGAAGGAGAAACAGATACCCGATAGGGCCCTCGTGAGGTACCTCTACCAGCCGGGGGAACACGAAGGGGACACTCGGAAACGAGCCACCGATCCGACATGGTCAGTCAAAACTTACAACATAGATAAAGTGGACATCAAAGCTGACTAGCCAAACTTGTACTACTTGAAAGATGGGCCAGAGAGAGGTTTCGTCAGAGAGGAATTATTGATCATAACATACGGCACAATGTTACCCCCCAAGCAAAATATTTAACACTTTCCTTGTCGAGTGATCCCAATAGTATCCTATCACATTAAACTGTTTCCTTGAGGTCAACACGACATAGAGCTATCGTGGCACGTGATCAGGAAAGTGTTGGTTCGCGGTCATAGTGACCAGGAAGTTAACTGGGGGTTCAAACCTGGTATATACAATAGCGGAGAGAGATAAGGGCCTGGCAAAAGCTTTATTTCATAAATGAAGCTTTACAGAGTCTTTTGTTGGACTTGATCTCGTACCCCCAGTGTATATACTACTCACAGACACCAGTCGGTATTTCTATGTCTGAAGTGGGGCTGCCATCTTCCCCCATTGACAGCAAATACAATTTGCTGAGATCTCCTCGACCTGACACTTACATAGCTGACTGGCTTGAAGGTGCCACCTCGATAAAACACAGTACTTTGGTAACTGTATATTCTTAGATATACTCATTTTATAGAAACTGTCGACCTCTCAAGACATTCATAAGATAAGAGTCCAGGGTTTAAGTTCATTTATTTATTACCAAACCATTGTTTTCTTTGATTGGCATTACAGTGAAAAGTTGTGTTGAGATATCTTGGCAGCCAGCCAAGTTGCGGTACACCACGTGAGCAAGCCAACCAATCAGTGTCAGTCATGTGTTTACAATTTCCCTGGCCACAGGGTGTTTGCCTGAACATTCCACAGGCCTTAGACACCATTTTGGAGCGTGTATGCCAGCGACGAAGGTGAGTTCTTTTTAATATTGTGGCATTCAGTGGAATATTTCGGTTAATTCATTAAGGCCGAAAGATGCATATATGGGGCAAATTATTCAGCTCCTCACAGCGAGTGACGTGTTTATGGGGCAGGTAATTGGCAGTTTCTCACAGCAAGAGCCACATATATCCGTCAACAGAAAGCACCTCTTATTCGGCGAGAGACGCACATATGTGTCGTACTTTTAAAAATCGCACTGTACCTATTATTTCAACCAATTTAGTAGGGCTGAGCAAGTATTAGCTTTTCTTACGAGAGATGCTATCTTTAGTGTCAATCAGAAGAAGTATTTAAAGTGTTTTGATAGCAATTGCTAATCATTATCATAGGCTTATACAGCGTTTGGCAAATGAACACATGTCGGCAAGAAAGGGGATTATGACGTTTTTGCAGAGGTAAGTGTCTGGTACTCTTCATTGGGAATGGATAATAAAATACTCCTTATGCACATTGATTGAAATAGATGTAATGGTTTCGAGGTTACTGAAGATTATATTTTCTTCAACTTCCTAATAAATAGGAAACAATAACGAAATTTCAAGGACATACAAAAAATTCAAACACAATAGAATAGTTTGAATTTACTTTTTAGGTATTATTACGTTTTCATGTTTCATATAATGAAACATAATGTATAAACCCAAATAATTATACATCCAAGCTCGAATAGATTAGACATAATTGAACTTACTAATTTAAAGCTTAATGAATTGTTTTAATGCACACACTGTGTCATCTCCGGGATACAGCTCATCATTACGTAACACATCTTCACAATCAAAATAATTCATTAAATGTACCAGAAACATCAAAGACAACTTTTAAATAACAAATCTTTAAAGAGACGATATCAGTCTGAATATACAGATGATTGTTCATCTAGCTACTTTATTACTGCTTAGAGTTGAAGTTATAATTGATGGTCACATTACAGTTATTAATAACTGGTCCTGGCATCTGAAACATCAGTCTATTTGTCATGCTGTGATTAAGTACATGCATATTGTTATCAGACACAGAAACAGATGACTCAGGTACAGGGAGAGTTTTGAGGATTTCATCAATCTCACAGTCAGTCAAACAATTTGTTAGATCATGATCACCGAGGATAGGCAAAGAGTTCTCCTTCTCCCTAATAAGTTGAGCACAGGTCATATCACTGATGGCGGTGGACATCATCTTCTTGGTCTTGTCATCAGTGAAACCAGTGTAAGTTTTCAGACTGGTTTCTGCTTTATGTCCTGTGACTGTCATAATATGCCGCGATGGCACCTGTGCAGAATCCAATACATGGACTGTTGTAGCTCGCAGGGAGTGGTTTGTATATTTTTGTGAAAGACCTGCCTTTGTGCTAAGCGTCGCCATCATAGAACCAAGCCGGTTGTGTCCAAGGGGAACCCCATGATATAAATTTCCATTTTCCATTTCTGAATTTGGTTGCTGGAAAAGTTTTGGACAATCTTTATTCAAGCGACGAATGTACTTGATGAAAGTCCTCACTGGACATCTGGGATCGTCTGTAAGATATAAACCCCAAAAATAAAAAATAATAATAATAAATGATAAAAGTGATCATACATATATTTCATTCGAACTCGGGACGTAAGGTTGGCTAAAATTATGCTGCCTCCCTTTCCGTTACAAAGCAAAATGGGTGACAGGTCATGGTTTCCGGTTACGTATCTTTCCAGAGTGTCGATATAATGTACAGTAAGCCTAATATTTGGAATTGAATGTCACTATTTGATAACATAACAACATACCTTTCTTCTCATACATTCGCCCTTGAGCCCGACCGCCGTCCTCCTGATGATTTTTGGTTTGTTCATCTCGGGTCATGTAAACATACATGTCCCCATCAGCGTCCGTGGTTACGGCCAGATCGCTTATTCTCAAAACTGAGAGATTTTCTCTTCCCCGTCTTCCGAAATGAAGCATGATTTCAACGAATACCTGTAATATAAAAACATGCCTATCTTATTTGGGAAATCTGTAAATTGATATTCAATATTTTATTTGTATCTATGTTTATTCATGAATCAATTGTCTAGATCTAGTTGCCTTGATGATTTTACGAAACTCAATGTCTGTGTTAAAAACTAGTTTTATATATTCACCTTATACTGTAGAAGTAGTGGGGAATCTGAGCTGCACACATAGTCGTAAAGCCTCGCCATATCAGCTTCTGCAACAGGTGGGTAGTGTTTGATCTCAGCGAAACCGATTCTTTTTAGTTCCTTTCCCATAGCCTTGAACGCTGTCGTGGATTCTTTGAAATTGGCTCTGATGATATCTATTCCTCTTCTTGTTTTTTCCAAGTGTCTTTGGATGCTATGTCGGTAAGACATTAAAGTTACTTTCTTGTAGTGTTCTCCTTTCTCTGACCTGGCTTCCAGGTAAAATTTAGCCAGTGATGAATCAAGTTCATCTTCGCTACAGTTCTCAAAATCAGCTGATTTACCCCTTTGTTGTAGATATTCTCTGAAAACCTTCACAGCAGTGTTAGTTGACCTTTTAGTGTTCTTTGAATCGATATTTTCCAAGATCTCCTTCTGTTTGTCATCTGTAATATCAGCAAAACGCTGATTTCTATTGACGAACGGTGAAGCCATAGCTGAACGGCTAAAAATAGCGCGTGAGGGAATGACGTCAAACCGAGTGATCTGATTGGTTGAAAAGCAGGGGAAGCCCCTTCGTACGGGATTCCTCGTCTATTGTTAGTAACTCAAGTCAATATCGTAATTTATCAGAAAACTCAAGTCAATATCGCGTTTTGTAGACAATCACGTGACGGTATTTTGACCAATCGTGATACAGGAAAAAACTACCTATATAATAAAATACCTAATCGAATATAAAGTGATAAGTCGCACCTTTGCATCGAATATAATACATGTCAGTGTTATTACAACAATGAAATCTTTTACTACGTTTGTCACAAAACACAGTAAGTTGGTAATTCAAAAACTTCTTAGACATAGACAGAAGTAATATCATAAGTTATTACATATAAACCATTCAAAGGTATTTCAAGTATTTTTGTTCAAGCTGTTAAAAGTTTCATGTTGATTTGAATTAGTCAGTTTTCTGTGCAATTTACATGAGCATTGTGTAAAACATTTCTATTTGATCTCTGTAATTATCAAATCCGGTGTAAGTATCACGTGTATCAATGAACTCAGTCTCTATTGATCAATCGTCAATAATAGCTGGATAGTATATCAGTTACGGTATCGATACACATGCGTATAATCAATCATATTACAGTAATGAGATAATTGAAGACCTCTTTCGACCTTGAAATAATAGCCTCCGGTAGAATGCATGTGTAGTTACGCCCTTGTTGAAAGGTTTGTCCCGTGACAAGTGTAAAATAAACAGATGCGATGTTATATCATTGGACAACCTGCTTTATGGAGTCACGCCCCTCTTTGTAATGTTTATGCATGCATGCACATCTGTAATCTTATGAACCTCGTTAACATTCAGTATAAATATAGGCACGCCCATCTTCATAAACATTTTGGGGGATTAAACTGCAAGTTTATACATTATAATAATTCAGTATCGTGTCTCTTTTTTAATTCTATAATACGTGTACTTTAATTTGGATATTCATTCATATCAAGGTGTAGATTATATTTACATGTACAGCAAACCATTATGTTTTATGTACTGGCTGTGTGCGTAAAATGTATATGAAAATAAATACTATCTCTACTCAATGGTTGGATTTCAATCACTTTGTTTTACTTATTGAAAAACACTCAAATGTGTTTTCAATCTCTGAGATCTATCTACTCCTATTTGTCTTATGTGTATATTTCATAGATCGTTACGATTATGTATGTTTACAATACACAAACTGTTACATGATAGCTTGAGTTGTTAAAGCCGAAACCCAGCATATCGACTGGTCAACGGTATAGCCAATAATCAATCTCTATCCAGCTGTTGAGTGACCAAACGTGGTCTTCAGAAATTTCACCCCACGTCCCATCACCTGTCACTTCCTCTGTGACAGGTATCTCATGATACGATTGGTCATAGACAACAAATGATCAGCCACTATATTGAGCAATTGAGATACCGCATGTTCTATTGGGGAAATTTGATGACGCCCTATCACGTGACTCTTTGTTTCATGTCTATACAAGGAATCTGTATTATACAATTTTTATATGTATGTTCGTATGATAACGTATGTTTTTTGCATTAAATCTAGATGAAAGAAAGTTATGAATGTGCTCTATGTTAGTCAGAGACTAGCGTAATAGTACTTTCCTTGAAATATTCAGTATACAGTAGAAATCTATCGGCAAAAACGCAAATATCGTAGAAGATTATAAAGCATGTATGTAAATTACAGTATGTCATTGTCATAGATATTTTGTAAAATTAAACCTCAGACAATGATATAAGAGAAAGAATTTGTTTATGTATGTTTCATCTCTTACATACAAAGAATGCATACATATGTTGATAAAGCAGTCAAAACCCCTACTAACCGGTCAAAATCTGCACCTATTTTTGATAAAAAAATTAAGTACAGAGGATCAAGTGGACTGCCCTACAGTGCCCCAGGTAGGCGTGTTTACCAGTTTACATGACGTTTTAGAACCACTCAGATCAGGCTATAAGTTATTGAAAAAATGTAATTCAATCTCTCTCTCGATTATGGGGATTGGTTGAAAATAGCTTTTGAACTTTATAATATTGAAAAGCCAACCCGTACGTGGAAAGAATGGTTGGATAAAGAAGTTGGTATTAATGATTCTTATGCCAGAAAGCTTCTAGAAATTTCAAAATTGCTAGGAAAATATACCCGTTTTAAGAAACTTGGTCTCTCCTTTTCAGAGGTTTCTAGTCGTAGAAAACAAATTAAAGGCATGTTGATAACAGACAACAGAGTGGCTCAGTACTGGCGGTAATACCAGTGCTGCATGAAAGCCAGGCAGCAGAGTTATAAACAACAAATATCACTCAATCATGAATGCTGAGTTTTTTTTTTTGTATTACAATGCTATGTGTAGTTTGATGTTTTTAACCCAGTTGAAGTTTTTGCTCAGTGCCTGTTGTTTTGTATCAACAAACTCAAAGACTACTAAATGAACGCAAATTAAAAGAACTCATTTTTACTTGTTGGAATACAAGCTCCCCATGCAGGCTTATGTGTGGGGATGTTCTCGTTCGTAGCCTGTGTCAGTAACTGGGGTTAGCCTCAGCGTAACTAACACTCACACAACATTCTAGGTCAGACCGGCGTTCATGTACTAACACTCACACAACATTCTAGGTCAGACCAGTGTGCATGTATGTACAGCTTCATCCCCTAGTTTCTCCAACTCAGTGTTACGACAACCTGCAGATGACAACAAAGAAAGTTTTCCTCTTGAAACCATCTCAGCGATCAGAAAAAGCTTTTACGTGGATGACTGTTTGAAATCTCTGACTACTGAAGAAGGAGCCATAGAACTTATCAGAAATGTGAGTGAATTATGTTTTCAGGGAGGTTTCCACCTTACTAAGTGGATTACAAACAGTCACCTGGTCATGGAAAGTATTCCCAAGGAAGAGCAAGCTGAAGGTGTCAAATGTTTGAAACTTTATCATGATCAACTTCCAACAGAGAGAGAGCGTTATGCGTACAGTGGGATGTATAAGCAGATGTGATAGATTTCAGAACTATAACTAAAGGTAAACCTTGTACAAGAAGAGGCACACTGTCCACAGTGAATTCTGTTTACGATCCATTAGGACCAGCGTCACTGTTTATCTTACCTGTGAAAATGCTTTTACAAGAGCTATGTAAACAGAAAGTGGATTAGGATGAAGAAATTGAGGAACTTGACCTGAAAATATGACAGAAATGGATTTCGGTGAACTTTAGGCCATGGAGCCAATCAAACCAATCTGGAAGAGTTGAAAGTACCCAGGTGTTACAAACCATCAAACTTTGGACAAATAGTTACTTCAGAGCTCCACATGTTCTCGGACGCAAGTGACCATGGCTATAGCGTTGCTGCTTACATCAGAATTCAGAATGATTGAAATGAAGTACACTGTTCACTCGTATGCGGAAAAGCAAGAGTAGCTCCACTGAAAAAGATAACAGTACCCAGAATGGAATTGATGGCAGCGACATTGTGACCATCGTTGGATGCGTGCTTGTTTTACATGTAGTCATAATATTGAGTGACGAATTTCTGGATGGGGTCTGCCATAAACTCGTCGAAGTAGGCTATGGAGTAGGTCGAGTACGGGGCGGAGCGATCTCGGGTTTTGAGGCTATAATCGACTAAAGTATCCATGAGAAGTTGTAACCTTTTGGAGCCCACGAGACCTAAACTATCATACAGGGTGGTGAATTTCCCTTGACTTATTACTCGACGTAGGGCTGAGTAAATATCGAGTCCATTGATGTCCACCCTGACATGCCTGAACAACTGTTTCTCGATCAATGTCCACATGATGATACCTATAAATAGACGAATCTTTAATAAGGCGGTAAGGGACAATTTGCAATTCCACTCACACGAATCCCCTACCTGGCCCGTCTTTCAAGTAGTACAAATGGGGTTCATCTTCTTTGATATCCACCCAATTGCTAAGATACTTTTTAACGGACCATACGGGGTCCGTGGCACAACGTTTATCCCCTCCTTCGAGTTCAATGGGCTGGTACTGATACCTCGCGACGACCCGGTCTGGTAGTTTTTTCTCTTTTCCGTGACGCGATGGTGCAGCTGATTTAGTCGTCTCGGATTTCATTTTAATGGCTTCAACAGGTCTTTTATTGATGAGTCTAGTGACTTCGTTGTTGATCGCCAACACCACTTGCGGTAAGCGCACAACCCATTCCATATTTCTGCTTCCGGGGTTTACCATCTCTTTGGCATACTGATGTCCGAACAAACGCTCAGCTAAAGTCCTGTTAAATCTTTCGACGATTTTTTAATTAAATCCAGGATCGACTTGTAATTTGGTCGGACAGGTCAAGCGACTGCGTTTATAGATGCGTTCTAAGGCCTTAGCGACTTGACTCGAATCTTTGGTCGTTAACAGCTCCGCTTCCTTATATCGACTGGCAACGTCCACGATGGTCAAAGCATACTTATACCTTTTGTTTCTCACCCTATCATGCGGTAGAAACAGGATGTTGGCTTGATGGGTATGATTGGGTATTGAAATGTCACTTTCTTCTTGGGATGTATCAGGGAGCCGGCAGGTAAACTTGCCAGATAGCATGTTTTTTAAGCCAAGCT